GTCTCCATGTTTCCAGTGTCTTTTTCCCCACAGGAGCTGAACCCAGAAGGATATTTCTTCTAATAAAACTATGGGGACCTCAAGGAAGCATAAGATATCTCAGTGGCTTGGGGGAGAAGTTGGGTGGTTGGAAGCAGGTAGCCTCTTCCAGCACTTGGCCCTCCATGGTCATACCACCCTGAGATACCTCATGTACACTTAACAACCTGTGCATTTAATTAATAAATGATCCATTCATTTAATGTGAGCCAATCAATAAATTCTCAAGTTATGAATGTAATTCACAGGCTCTACTACATTTGTAACTTGAGGATTACCTGTACTGCATTCTAATCATTGCAAAAAAAAATAAAAAATAAGATAATTGAGAAATATATGTATTAAATCAGTAACATTAAAGAGATTATTGATTAATCCATATGTCACTAGAAAATATTTTAGGACACTTTATTTCTATGAATCATGTACTTTTCCCCTCTACACCTATACAAAGAAATCTAAGGCTCTGGAAAATTCAAATGACAATTGTTATATCTGGAGTACTATTAATACATTTATTTAATTATAATTTATTTTTCAACCATAAAATGGACAAAGTGTAGTCCTGGTCTATTCAATAGTAAAGAAAATGATAAAAAGTAACTTTAAAAATTAATATTTACTAGTATCAAATACCGGTAATAATATCAATATTGCCTGAAATACAAAGAAACAAGCAATGTATCTATATAAATTTTAATTAAGAACCTTGCATTGTAAACTGTACTGTTCTTATATCTATTTAAATATTGGCAATTCATTTTTCAAGACAGAAAATACTGGTTTATAATTGGCTTTGTGGCTTTAGTACATCATTACTTAAGTCTTGACATGTCACAGTAATACTCAGTAACAGTTATGTCTTGGCAAATACTAATTCCAAATTCTTTCTGAATTTTTCTACCATCCTCAGCTAGAACAGGAAACAGCACAGAAAAATTTCTATATGGTGGCTTATAAGAATGCCACACAAAGTATGTGCCATTTTTGTTCCTAGCCTACAAATTCTTTGCCAAGTAGAATGAAGGTTCCATTCTACAATGCATCAGAGATTCACCAAGAGAGCCTGAGGAGCAGGTAGGTCCAGAAACTGCTCTTCCACAGGCTCATTCAGCAGGAAAAATGTCCCAATGTGTCATCACCCCCAGTAGCCCCCGCAGGATAAATAGTAAAAAATATTTTTCTCATGCAAGCATTATGAATTAAGTCTTGAATGGTTCATTTTTCCCTTACTATCTTAAAATAAATCTAAGAGATGAGGATGATTTAGATGAAGTCCCTTTCTTGAAAAACAGCACTTGAATTATCATATTATCATTGAGTTATCATACAGTATGGACACTGTTGAAATTGCATATATCTTTGTCAGGGGTGGCATAGATATTGGTTGGAAATATAGTTTTCTTAGAGTTCTGGCACTAGATCAATTGGTTACATCACTGCAGGAAAAAAAAATAGGTAAGTCATTCCTACCAGAATGTTAAAATGGTGAGCAAGACTTGGCCACAGATCTGTCCTGTCAGCTTTTTTGTGTTTGGATCAGGAATATATCCATCAAACTCTGTTCATTCTTTTCCATACTAATCTTTTATTGTTGTACTTTCCATGTCACAAAAAAAAGGATCAAATCACATCGCAGCTTTTGTTAAGGGTAAATATTTAAAGTGGGCTATCATGGCATAGGCTTTAGTGCCAAGATGCCATATATTATATTGTGTGACTTAATTATGCTGTGAATTCATGTACTGGGATGTTATATTTAGTTTCTATTGAGTATGGCTAATCAGGAAAACTATTATTCTTATTATGGTTCATCACACACAGTCAACCAGATATTTAGACTGGATTTGGCATTTATATGCACCTACTTAGTTCTTCCAAAGGACTTGGGATAGGCAGATATTGTTGGCTGATGGTGTGACCAACCATAATAATAATACTTTGGCATATAAGAAACACCAAATGAAGACTAGGAAAGAGGCACGGCCAGTACATTAAAAACATTAGCAAGCAGAGAGAACAACAAGATCTGGCAATGGCTAAGAACAGTAAAATTGAAGAAAAAGAGAAGGGCTAATTCTGGCTGCAAAAGACAAAAGAAATACACAGAAAGCCAAAACTGAGAAGACAGCACCAGACAGCAAATGTCATCTCCCCAAACAAGCTGAAAGAACAGTGGACCATCAAATTAGTAAAAGATCACTGACTACAAACCACAGCATGACAAAGTAGCAACAATGGAGTCCTGAAATATTTGCAAGAAATATGTCTTTCTGGCAAACAGGAACTAGTGGGCCCACAAAACAGGAAAAATAATAGAAAATGAAGGAGCTAAAGTTCTGTGGATCTTTAGGTTTCAAATTGACATACAACAACAGTTTGGGGTTTTTTTTGCAAATTTTTATAAAATTTATCAGGATATAAAATACAAAAGAAAATGAAAGTAGGAAAAGGTAAGGGGGGAAATGTAGGATAAAAGGGGGAATAGAAAGGAAAGTGTTGATAAGAAAGACAAAAAAGTCTTGGTAGTGGACATTGCAATATCTTGAGATGGCAGAAGAGAAAGAAGTAGAAAAAAAAACACAACATATAAAGACCTGCAAGTAGAACAGCTGTAGCAAAAGAAAGCAAAAGTAGTACCAATAATATTAGTTGCTTCCAAAACATCTAGAACACTACTTGAACAGAATTAACATTACCATCAGTCAGTTGCAAAAACTTCACTTGAAACAGCTTACATCCTGTGACAATACTTTAATATTATCAAACAATAACATGTCCTTGTGAAGGCCTGGATAGGTAGACAAAAATGCCAAATCCAGTCTAAATAGCTGGTTAACTGTGTGACCAACTATAATTAACACTTTTTAAAATGGTAAGATATTTAAATCATCAAGATCTGTCTTATACTTATTCTCTATGCTGAAACCCTGCATGTCTTCTTGTGGTGAAATTATGCATTTTGGTGTAGTTGTCACACCTTTTTCTCTCTCCTTAGTACAGCATGTGTTCATAAATATATAAAAATGTTGCTTTCTCATAAATAGATCTGCAAACAACTAGAAACAAATGAAGTTATAACTACTAGCCAGCACGAGTTTCTCAAAAACAAGTCATGCCAAACCAATTTTATTTCATTCTTTGATAAAAGTAACTAAATTAGTAGGCCAGCAAAATGCTATGGACATTGTATACTTAGATTTCAATAAGGCATTTGACAAAGTAGACCACAACCTACTTCATCATAAATTAGAAAAATGTGAAATAGAGATCACCACCACCCGATGGATTTGTAGCTGGATATTCAATGAGTAGTCCTTAATGGTACTACATCTAGATGGAGGGAAGTAAGTAAGGTTCCATCTTAGGCCTAGTACTCTTCAATATCTTAATAAATCACTTAGATGAGGGAATAGAAAGGGAACTTACTAAATTTGCAGATGATACTAAACTGGCAGGAATAACCAATGCCCTAGATCAGTTATCATGAATTTTAGTGTGGAAAAAAACCCAAAATTTTACATTTTGGAAGGAAAAATCAAAGGTATAAGTAAAATTAAGTGAGACCTAGCTGAAAAACAGTAGTTGTGAGAGGGACTTGGGGTCCCAGTGGATGATCACTTGAATATGAGCCAGCAGCCAAAAAAGTTAATATAATCCTGGGTTGTATAAACAGAGGCATAGAATCAAAAGCACATGAAGTATTTGTACTGATTTATAAGTACAAGTAAGTCCACACCTGGAATACTGGGACTAATTTTCATCACCACACTATAAAAAAGATGTTGAGACTTTGGAAAAAGTTCATAGAAGAATATGTAACATGATTAAAGGCACTGGATATATGAAGAATTGTTGCAGGATTTGGGATTGGCAAGTCTAAAGAAAATAAGAACTAGGGGTGACATGATAGCAATATTCCAATATTTGAGGGACTGCCATAAAGAAGAGGGGTCAAATTGTTCTCCAAAGCATCAGAGGGCAGGATAAGAAACAATGGTTGGAAAATAATCAAAGAGAAAAGCAACCTGGAATTAAGGAGAAACTTCCTAACAGTGAGGACAATTAACCAGTGAAACAGATTGCTTTCAGAAATCGCGGGCACTTCATCACTGGAGGTTTTTAAGAAGAGACTGGACAGCCACTTGTCTGAAATGGTATAGTCTCCTGCCAGGGCTGGACTAGAAGACCTCCAAGATCCTTTCAGCTCTATTCTATTCTAAATATATTGCTTGCTTCAGATAGCTCACAATTTTACATGTTGGTTTGCTTCTACCATTTTATCAGTGACTTCAGTTCCTGGGCTGAGTCTTATATATTTTCTCACTGAAAAGCTGTTACATTTTATTCTTATGAATGTTGCATATAATTTGGCAACTCTTGAGTAATTGCATTGATAGTTAGTGTACTAGATGGGTAGCTTAGCATATGCAACCAATTAATGTATTGAATACTCTAAGTGTTCTTCCTTCCTTCTTTCTGCTAAATTTTATTTTTTAACACATCCAATTTTTTTGTTTCCTTAATACACTTGTCTTAAATTGGTAATTGGCTTAAATTTGTTTTTCAGATATGTCTATGAAACAATTTTAAAAGAAGGTAGTAAGATTAATTAACTGCAATATGAGTCTTGCTGTAAACTGTCAAAGGAAACATCAGGTTTTCATTCATTTTATTTTGAGTCATGTATGGCTTGTAAATCAGGATATATCCAGATTCAGTCCTCTTGAAGAAAGAGAAAAAGGATATTTTTTCTAGCAGTACCACCTTAAAGTCTCTGTATTCTTGTGGTTGAACTTGAATGAATATCAGTCCTCTTAAAGCATTTCATTTCCTATGTCTAATGGGACCCTCTCATATTTTTGCTTCTGACATTTCTGCTGAAATAGCTAATCTTTTCTTGTTTCTAAAGCTGTAACTGAAATTCACTATCATAAAAACACACTATTTTGAAATTTTAGAGAATTGTGTTCAATCATAATGGTGATGGTGCTTTGCCTCGAAGTGACCCTAGTTTGTCTGCCCCTGAGAAAAGTAAGCATTATTTTAATATTCTACTATATATTTTTATAAAATACAAAAGACAGTTAATAAACAAATGTAAAGCAGTATTTATTGATATTGCATCTCAAATACCAAACATATGTAACTGATGTCAAATATGCTGGATATATTTCTGATATTTATTTTAATTCTCAAAAGTTTTAACAATTAATATTTGTGTTGCCATGGCTTAACAGCTGTAACTAGTGCTCCCAGCAGTTGGAGCCTGGATAATGGGAAAGAAGCCAAAAACATGTCAGAGAGTAGAAAGCTCATGTCTCCTCCTGTGCCACCTCGTCCCACTGGTAAGTCTGTACTTCATTAGTCTTCTTTTTTAATACAACTAACTCTACACATGTTGTACCTAAAGCTGGATCCTGCCTGGATGTGATTTTAGCCAGATGATTTTAGAACAGGAACAGTAAATCAGCCAGGAGGGTGAAGGGACCATAGAAAAGAAAAATTAATTTTGGAGAAAATGCTGCAAGTGGAACAAACATTGAGGAGGGCAACTAAGTTGCATGTTGAAACAACAAAACAAGAAAAGTTACATTCCTAAATTCTGGAATAAAGAGAAGGCACAGCTTTTGGTGTGAAGCTTTATCTGTAATGGTCCTTAGTTCACATTTCTGCATGCCTATGAGCAACCTAATAGTTTGGTGTAATGGTTAAGATACCAGGCTAGAAATTGGGAGACTGAGTTCTAGTCTTGCCTTAACCACAAAGCCAGCTGGGAGACGTTGGTCCAGTCACTTTATCTTAGCCCTAGGAAGCAGGCAATGTCAAGCCACTTCCAGAAACTTGTCAACAAAACTGGAGGGACTTGCAATCAAACAGTGAACATTGAATAGAAACAATCACAACAAAATTCAAAACGTAATTAAGTGCAATGAATTTAATTATTTTTCAGATTTTTAGTATCTTTCTTTTCTGCCACATTTAAAAATTATAGTTTTGTGATAACCTCTGGAAGAGGTTTTGAAAGGATTTGGGAACCCTAGATTGTACAATTTTATTTGGAATAGAATAGAATAGAACAGAACAGAATCTTTATTGCCAATTTATCACTAATCAGCATACATTAAAATGAAATTTTGTTGTATTCAGCTCTCAAAGGATAACCATTATGCATATACCCACAAAAATACACATATATGACACAGAGAAACATCACAGTCTAATTCAAATGTATACATATACATGGGGGGAAAAAAGAATACGAGTTTACAAGACTATAGAATAGACCATGAAGTGGGTGTGTGGAGTCTCTAAAATGCTTCAAGCTCTAAGCACATAGCGCTTATATGCAGTATTCTGAATAATGGGAAGTAAGTTTACTTACTTCCCATTATAATCTTCTCAGCTGCCCTTACCATTCTCTGTATGGACCTTCTATCTGGGGCCTGCTGCTACCAAACCAAATAGTGATGCAGTTTGTTAAAATGCTCTCAATTGTGCCTCTGTAAAAAGTGGCCAGGACAGAAAGAGAAAGATGTGCTCTCCTCATCTGACACAGGAAATGCAAATGCTGGTTTGCTGTTTCACTAAAGATAACATATGAAGAGTCCAAGTAGGATTGTTAATTATATGCACCCCCTAGATCAGGGGTGAAATGCTCCCGGTTCGGACTGGATTGGGCGATCTGGTAGCGATTGTTACAAGTGGTTCGGAGAACCGGTAGCGATGGCGGCATGAGGCTCCGCCGACCTGTCCAGGTGTTGTTACTTCCTGCTTTTAAAAGGTAAAAAAATGGCTCTGACGATCGCACACCATAGCTGTGATCATCAGAGCCTTTTTTTTACCTTTTTAAAGCATTTTTTTACAACCTATAATAGGTTGTAAAATAATGCTTTTAAAAGGTTTAAAAAAGGCTCCAATGATCACAGCTGTGGCGTGCGATCATCAGAACTTTTTTTTTACGGGGGTGGTGGGGTTCCGTTTTTGCTCCCAGCAGGCTTTCCTGAAGCCTACAGCCTTGATACAAAGTGGAGCATGACTATGCTGGCCCTTTCTAAAATCAACAGTGATCTCCCTGAAGCCTGCTAGGCCAAAAATGGGGGGTGTAGGCAAAAAACGGGTGGGAGGGTCCATTTTTGAAAGAGAGAGAGAGAGAAAGACGGAGAGAGAGAGAGAAAGGAAGGAGGGAGGGAGGGAGGGAAAAAGGAGAGGAAAGAAGGACTACAAACCTGGCACTAGATGCAGCTTCAGAGGATAATCCAGGGCTGAAAGGGACCTGGAGGTCATCTAATCAAACCCTGCTCCAGCAGGACATTGTTAGTGAGTTTCTGTCTTTTGATCTCCAGTCACATGTTTACATAGCCATGCCCACCCAGTCACATGACCCCCATCAAGCCACGCCCACCAAGCCACACCCACAGAACCGGTAGGAAAGAAATTTAGATTTCACCACTGCCCCAGATACTTAATACTATTAACCATCTCTACAGCTATAGCCTTGATAACAAGTGGAGTATGATTATGCTGGCTCTTTCTAAAATCAACAGTGATCTCCTTTGTTTTGTTAACATTAAAAACCAGGTTATTTTTATTGCAACACTCCACCAGAGCCTTCATCTCTTCCCAAAAGAATCTTCATTGTCATCCTGGACAAGCCCCACCACTGCCATGTCATCCACATAGTTGATCTGGCATTCCTAATAAATATTGTTTTTGCTATACTTTTGGCTTTGCCTGTCATGAAGAGTAAACTGAGGGAGAGATTGAGAAGACTGCTTTGAGATGTTATTATTTTGCTGTGAATCTGAGCAAGTGGGTGGGAAAGCCAGTACAATTTAATTTTTAATAGGCCTGATGGTCCAAGCTTCTTTAGAGAAATGAGAAGACCTTATAATGATTAATTTTCCAATGATCCTTTTAATTTTAGTTCTGTTACCAGCTTCTCATCTGCAGGAAAGACATTTTGGTGGTTACCAAATACCATATTTTTTGGAGTATAAGACACACTTTTCCCCCCTAAAAGAGGCTGAAAATTTGGGTGCATCTTATACTCCGAATGTAGCTTTTTCGAAGCTTTTTTTCAGCTCTAATGAGGCGCTTGTGAGTAAAGTGATCTTCCGAACTTTGCCTGCTCCCTCCAACTCTCAGCTGTGCTTTAGAAACTGTTTTTTATCCCCAAGGAGGGGATAAAAAGCGTGCACACGTGCTCAAAACCAGCAAACTAATGTGCTGAAGTTGACCAGACTAAGGACGCTAGCCAGATGAATACCTGGTAGGCAGAATTTTTTTTTCCTATTTTCCTCCCCCAAAACTAAGATGTGTCTTATACTCCGATGCATCTTATCCTCTGAAAAATACGGTATATGTATTTTGGGCTTTATGATATGATGGAAATATAACCCCTAATTACTATTTTTCAACCTTCTAAAATATTGCAGTAGTTTCCACGGGTATATTTTTTTTAACTGTGGGGTTAATACAAACCAATCCTGGCCTAGTCTGATAATTCATTTTATTACTTTATACTATTTCTTACTTGAGAGTTATATGAGAGAGAAGTGAATGGAGCGAACATGTGGTTAACAAGATCCCCCAATAGTGATATTCCCTCTACTGCATACTCTCAGTTCATGTTTATCTTCTTATAAAATTTCTATTGATATAAAGTATTTTCAGTTTCAGTGCTTCATGCTTATTTTGTCCAGGAGATTTTCTTCTGGCTATCTGTCACTGGTTTAATGGGAAGCTCTATGTTTTCTATCTGAGGTCTGTATGTCTGACTCTGTTTTTAATCCTGTTGCAATTTTACAATCTGCGTCTTTATCAACATATTATATGATATGTGTTTTATAAATCTGAGTGTAAACTGCATCTGCATTTTTTCCTTCCCCTCTCCTCTCTCACATACATTTTTCTTCATTTTGGCTAAGCTGTTCGTTTCTATCAAGCCATCACAGTCCTCACTTACTCTAAACTATGTTAAATTCATGTGAAAATGATTTTCTCCACAGCATCACCAGTTCGACACATAACCTCAGTTTCCCCTTCTGCTGGAAGATCTCCAATGAAGGTACTGTTCTTTCTTCAATACATTTAGAAGCAGAACTACATTATTTATTTCTCATAATTTACATTAATTGTGGCTGACTTTTCACCTTCAAAACATAAATATGTATTTATGCCTTCCCAATTTGTGTAGTGTGATGGGAATAAAGAACTAAGCTTTTTAGTCATTTCTGTTCTGATAAATGAACAAATCATGTAAGGTTCCATAAAAGACAATAGGCTGAATACATTCAGGAGATAGTGGTCACACATTGGAATGAATATAAAGAGATTAATTTCTTTATCTTAATTTCTCTCACTGTACAACATAACATAACATAACATAACATAACATAACATAACATAACATAACATAACATCATATCCATGCAATTCCAGGAGCATTCACAATGTATGACTGCTGATACATTACGTTCAAGATACATTAAATCCTCCTTGTTGAGCAATGGGGACTCAAGTTATTTGGGTTATGATTTCTCCCAACATTCATAGGTTGTTGAATTTGATTTAGCTTGAAGGTACCACCAATATTGCATAGTTCACATGTCTACTATATTAACTTTCTGTGATCTGATATACTAAATAACACAAATATAGATTGGGTGATTGTAATTTAAAAGTAGATACAAACCACAGTAATTCAAGATTTTATAGTATCAATTTCAGTTTTTGATGCTCAGATTACAAAACTGTTACGTTATAACAATAAGTATTGTTATAACATGAATAATAACAGGGATTCAGAACTAATATAAAGGCATGTTTCTCTACTTCTTTTACCCTCCTAGACTCTTCTTTCTATTTCCAGACTAATTTTTTCTTTTCTAAACTCAGGGTTCTGTGCAATCATTTTCATCATCTCCTATGGACTACCATTCTTCCAGGCTCATTTCCAACTCTCCAGTCTTGTCTGGAAGTTACAGCAGTGGCATTTCTTCACTTAGTCGATGTAGCACATCTGAAACATTTGGTTTTGAAACGCATATCAATGAACATCCAGTTCCTCTTTCTAATTGCAACATTTCCGAAGAGCCAATAAGAAAAGATAGCAAGATTCCTCCACCTTATAGTGTTTATGAGCGAACTCTGAGGCGTTCTGTCCCACTACCTCACAGCCTTTCCATTCCCATTTCTACAGATCCACCAGCATTACCCCCAAAACCTTTGTTGGTCAGACCAAGCAATTTGGAGCACAGCAGCAAGAGAACAGAACAGGTGCCTCAACCCAGGCCTCTTCCACGAAAAGTCTCTCAGTTATAAATATAAGTCAAAAAGTCATTTTTTGAATGACTTAAATAAAAAACATATCTAATATAGGCACTTTAATATTTTTCACAAATCTTCCTGGTGATTTTTAAAAACTGCTTAACTTTAAGTACTTAACTAAGTGCTAGCTTAAAAAGCCAGAACCTAGAGGCAATGAGACTGAAATTCTATCTTTAGCATAGCATACAGCAAATGTGATTCTGCATATAAATTTGAACTAGAAGTCTAGCTGTTCAAACAACATCAAAGCATACTTTCCCTTGAAAGCCTTATATTAGTGCAACAGTGTACTTTCTGACAGAATAAAATTTGATTTGAAGCAGAAGTGAAATGCTACTGGTACAGATCAGTTCGGGAGGACCGGTAATGGAGATTGGGGCTGGTTTGCTGAACCAGTGGCAATCGCTGGCTGGCCACACCCCCAAACCGATCCACGGCCTGCAGCCCTGCCATGCTTCCCTGCCTTCCATGCGGCCTTCCCGTGGCCAGCTTGCAAAGGCAGGCAAGCTGAAGGCCACGTGGAAGGCAGGCAAGCATGGCAGGGCTTCAGGGAAGCTAGCAGACAACTCCCTTCCCCGCAGCCCTGCCATGCTTGCCTGCCTTCCATGTTGCTAAACTCATTGTTGGGAGTGTCAGCGATCTAAGGAAACGTGTTCCAGCTCTTCAAGATCGACTTTAAGAGCGCCGAGAACCCGACAGCAAAAGTAGCGACAGCGGGGGCGACAGGGACGTGTGTGTATGTGTCCGTCCCTCCACGATCCTCCTCTCCCTGGTGACAGCCAGGGCTTCACCAGCTCCTCTTTTCCTCAGAGGGGCGGTGTCTGCCTCCAAGTCCTTGCGGAGGGACACATATACACACGCTCCTGTCGCTCCCGCTGCCACTACTTTTGCTGTTGGCTTCACGGCACTCTTAAAGTTGATCTTGAAGAGCCTGGAACCCGTTTCCTTAGATCGCCGCCAAACTCATTGTTGGCAGCATCAGCGATCTAAGGAAACATCTTTCAGCTCTTTAAGAGCTGTTGACTTTAAGAGCACCGAGAAGCCGACAGCAAAAGTAGCAGCAGCAAGGGCGACGGACATGTGACGTGTCCCTCCACGGTCCTCTCCCGGGTTTGCCACCGCCTCTTTTTCTCACACACATACACACATGCCCCTGTCACACGTGGCCGCACAAGAGAACTCTCCGGCATGGCACAGTTCCAGAATAGCAGGAGAGCCCAAGCAAGCTCTGCCCCCACCGCCGCCACTGCTGCCTGCCTTCGCCAGGCCCGGCCGTGCCACCACGGAGCCCACGGCGCTTTCCCTTCAGCCTGGGCAGCAGGATGCAGTCCCAGCCGAGGCCTCCCTGGCTGGGCGATTGCCGCATCTCCGCAGCAACAGGTGCGCTGGGACCACCTTGCCCACCTTCGTCACTTCCATGCACTGTGTGTGGAAGGGGCCGTCGCTGCCGCTGTCGCCACCCTCCCATCCAGCCTGGCTGCAGAGTGCAGACGTCCGCCTGCCCTAAGCAACCCGGCTGCCGTTCACTTTCATTTTGCGGCAGGAGAAGGAAGAAAGCAAAATGCCTATTGACATGCTATTGCGTTTTATTCAATATTTGTATGTTGTTTGAACTTGTCTCTTAGATATCTTTTTTCTAGCATTCCAATAGTGGTTAGTTTACATGCTTGTAGAATTTTCCCCCTCCCATTTTATTTTATTTTATTTTAGATAGGTGCAATTTACAGCTCCATAAAGATAATAAACGTTAATCATTATTGTATTATAGAAAATATAGCCAATATGTACAGTTATTTTTTAAAAAAGATCATTGATTTCAGACACAGAAACTAACTTCTCAGATTATTTTAATAGCCAAAATGAATAAGTCATTTTAAATGTGAATCAAGAAAAAAACCACTCGAACTCTTAAGATGAAAATGCTGAAAGCAATTGGGTGCAAGCAAATGTTCACGAGAATGCTATTTACAAGAAGAATTAATTGAAGCAGCAAATTTTTAAAGACAAGATTCAGCCTTTTTATTGTTATATATAAAGTTTCTGAATGAAAGTTCTTCCATTCTGTTGTTCTATATTCCACTGCAAAAATGTAGATAAAATAATTTAAGGGACAGTGGTTTAGATCGTGGAAAGTGAGAGGATTTTAGGGCACAGACTGAAAACTTGTTGGCAACTAAATGTAATCCAGATTTCAGCCCCAATCCTGCAAAATGTTTTCTCTAAAAGTGCTCTTACTCATCCCAGATGGAGCCCTAACTGGTATTTTGCTAGAAAACTCCTGTGTTTTTGAAAGCTTACATTTAGTTCTATAACTGTATAAACAAAAACAAGTGTACAGGCAATTTTTCCATTTCTTATTTCTCCCCCTCCCCCAAAAAAACTTACTATTTGTAGTATTTGTTTGATATCATGAAGTCTGTACTTTTCAATTGTACCATTAAAGTTACCTCCCTGTTTGGTTGGGAAACTTGTATTGATTTTATCAGTTTATCTTATTGATAGTTTAACTGGAACATTATTGACCCCTTTTTATCTCAATGAGAAACTCTCAGTAGGTTTATGCTATTAATGGTAGCTATAGAAGTTTTATATAATGTTCAAGTATTTTTGTACATAACTGGTTAATTTTAATAAGAAGTACAATGGGGGGAGGAAAGCAAATGGTTGTGTATGCAGTAAGATGGTTATAATTATGCCAAATACTTTATGTAATTGGGGGAACAGGAACACAGGGAATAATATTTGTACATATGTGTTTTTAACAATAATTCTGCCATATTGATTCTACAACTTTGAATGTCAAAAATATATTAATATATGTTGAAATACCTATGTTTAGCAAAAATGTTTACAACTGGAAAAAGGGCATAAAATTTAGGTTTGTAGGTTGCTGATTTTGAGGCCCGAGATTTCTGAATTTGCTTGATCATAACATTTTTTTTGTGTCTGCATAACTACATTTTTGGAATCATAAGCTACATTTTTATGCTTTTAAAATATATTGTAATTTAAATAAACTGTCACAAACTGGATAATAGATCTACTTTGATCCCTTCCTATATTGTATTTAGAATTAAATCTGTGTTTGCCTGGTGCTTCAGATAGAATCAGTATTATTTGCTGCTTGTCCATTTTTAAAATATACTTGAGAGGAAGCAAAATTTTTACTCGTGTGCACGTATTACTGACGTCTGCTTAGCAGCAAAACATTTTAATGTAGTTTGTTTACAGATAATTATATTGGTTGTTGAGAAACCATAAATACAAAATAAATTTGATTGAAATTCATTGACCAGTTTTATTTTCTGCTAAGTGGTGCATTAAAATCAATTTGTGAGGAAATTAAAATAGACTCTTATTTTTGATTAGGCTTCATATATGATTTTAAGAAACAAAGATAAAACCTAATATCTTTTTTTGTTCCCTCTCTCCAACACAGTTCAATTCAAAATTTATCTTATTTATTAACATTTTCATGATATCCTAGTCAAATTACTCTGGGTGATAAACTCAGAGTGTAATAAATAACAACAAGAAAACCACATAAAATCAAGTAGTCAGTTTCTATTGTCACTAAGTGAAATAATTGAAAATCTACCTATATATGTATATAGCATCTGAGGACCAAGATGCTATATCATCGGGGTACAACTGAGAAGGTCTGCTTCCTCAAATGCACTTTATGTCAGGCTGGAATCTTAAGCAGGGGCTGTATCATTTGGTATGATTGGTTACCATGGTATTTAGAAATTTATATGTATGTCTGGCACTTTGAATTGATATCAGAAATCTATTGGTCAGTATAATACCGGCAAAAATGATTTCATCTCTTAAAGTTCCTCTTTCTGACATTCTGTGAATGAGGAAGTATTACCTGCATAATTCAATTTGGATGAGAATATTTCAAACATAATATCATTTGGTTATATAGAACAATGAAATGACAATAATCCTGGGAAGAAGAAATTGACAGCTGAAGGCTGTGTTAGACTTCTGTGTCACTGCACATGAGCGAACATACAATATGTGTCATTCAGAAATGGTTGCAAAGTTGTTGCACCTATACTTCTGCAAATGTTAATGTTTAGGGGACACTCAAACAATAAAGCAGGAAGTTGGATCAACCAATCAACATGCAGGACACATATCTCCATACAATATATAGTTGAGTTTTGGGAAGCGTGCGTGTCGACCCATCTGCAACCATCTACATTTGCCGAAGGAACTTACCAAGGAACTTGGAACAAGGAAAAAATCATAACGTGAAGAATGTTAAAATCATTCCCTTTCCTTTTCTCTTTCGTCTTAAATTAATTATTACTTCTTAAATTAATTATTTAAACAGTAAATAATTTTAAAAAATATATTTTATGATATGAAAGAAATGTTATCTTGAGTTATATATTCATAAAATTTGGTAAACAACAGAAAACATAGTAACTAAGTAAATACAGGTAGTCCTCGAATTACAACAGTTTGCTTAGTGACCAAAGTTACAACAGCACTGAAAAAAAGTGAGTTATGACCATTTTTCACACTTATGACCATTGCAGCATTCCCATGGTCATGTGATTTACATTTGGATGCTTGACAACTGACTCACATTTATGACGCTTGCATTGTCCTGGGGTCATGTGATCACCTTTTGTAACCTTTTGTCTACTTGACAAAGTAGACCATAATCTACTTCTTGGTAAGCTAGAAAAATGTGGAATCACCACCAGATGGATTTGTAGCTGGCTGACAAACCATGGTTAGTAACAACCATGTTACTAATTTAACAACTGCAGTGATTCACTTAACAAATGTGGGAAGAAAAGTTGTAAAATGAGGCAAAACTCACTTAATACATTGTGGGTTCGCTTATGGTGGTATGTTGAGGACTACCTGTATTAGACTTGTAATAGTATAAAAAGAAATGGCTTTCAAAATACTTCAGTTATCCAAAGCTTTAAAAAAAAATTCAAAATACAGCTTTTGAATAACATTTACCCTGTAGTAAATGTCTTGGGGGCACATATGGATGATCAATGGCAGCCAACTTATAAATAAAGCTAATTCGTTGCTGGTGCTTCTTGAACGATATCAATTAAATGAATTTAAAACATGATTGTTATGACAATCAATATAGGAGCTGTAATTGGTTATGTGCCATCAAGTTTGTATTGCTTCTTAGCTATCATATAACTCTTCTCCAGGATGATTTGTGCCCAATTTTGCACTTAGGTCATCCAACAGTTCACCTAGCATCATTGTAATTCAGTCCCTTCACCTTGCTGCTGGCAGTTCCAATTCTCTATGGACTTCTTCAGGGAGCTGGGTGTTCACATAATGGGTGCAGAATAGAATATTTTGAGTCTGTACATTTGTGTCTCAATGGAAAATTCTGAGTTGATTTATTCTATGATGCTTTTCTTTTCTTGTTCTGCATAGTATCGCAGCAAAAATCAAAGAAGTAGCTGAGTACCTAACAATGAATCTGAAAACAATAAGAGATTACGAACAGTTAGGGAAGAAAGTTAAAGAATTAGGAGCGCAAGTGGTGTTTCATCTATACTTTCAACAAGAGGCCAACATCCAACAAGGGAGCAAAGGATTTTATTTATTTATTTATTTATTTATTTGTTCAACTTATATGCCGCCTTTCTCCGAAGACTCAAGGTGGCTTACAGTACATTTAAAAACCATATATAAAAACATTAAAAATTAAAAACAATTAAAAACAACACCATTCATGGCTGGATCTCGCCAGATTGCAACAGCGAGATCAACGGCCCCAGGCCTGCCGGAAAAGCCAGGTCTTCACTGCTTTTCGGAAGGCCAATAAGGTGGGGATGGTCCAGATCTCAGGAGGTAACTGGTTCCAGAGAGCTGGGGCGGCTGGCTCTCTGCCCCAGAGAAGGCCCTCCCCCGCGGGCCCACCAGCCGGCACTGTTTAGCTGATGGGACCCCGAGGAGACCAACTCTGTGGGATCTTACCAGTCACTCGGAGCTATGCGGTAGAAGGCAGTCTCGAAGATAACCTGGCCCTGAGCCATGTAGGGCTTGAAAGGTAATAACCAACACCTTGAATTGTGACCGGAGACCGGAGACCAATAGGGAGCCAGTGCAGCTCATGGAGAATTGGTGTAATGTGGGTGTACCCACGTCAGCTTGTGCAGCTGCGTTCTGGACCAACTGTAGTCTCCAAACACTTTTCAAGGGTAGCCTCATGTAGAGCGCGTTGCAACAATCTAACTGTGAGGTGACAAGGGCATGAGTGACTGTGAGGAGAGCCTCCTGATCCAAGTAGGGTCGCAATTGGTACACCAGGCAAACCTGTGCAAAGATCCTCCTAGCCACAGCTGACAGATGTTGCTCTAATCTTAGGAGGACTAGGAGGACACCCAAATTGTGAGCCCGTTCTGAGGGGGACAATTTCTCCCCCCCCCCCGAACCAAGGATGGACAATCAACATAGTCTTTAGGAGGCAATACCCACAGCCGCTCAGTCTTGTCTGGGTTAAGTCTGAACCTGTTGACTCCCATCCAGACCCTCATGGCCTCCAGGCACCGGCACATCACATCCACCGCCTCACTGAATTGACGCAGGGTAGAGATATACAGCTGGGTATCATCAGCGTATTGCTGATACCTCACCCCGTATTGTCGGATGATCTCACCCAGCGGCTTCATGTAGATGTTAAATAGGAGGGGAGAGAGGACCGAGCCCTGAGGCACCTGCAAACGAGGGTCTTAGGGGTCGACCTCTGTCCTCCTACCAACACCGACTGTGACCGATTAGAGAGATAGGAGAAGAACCACCGTAACACGGTGCCTCCCACTCCCAACTCCCTTATCGAAAGCCACTGAGAGGTCAAGTAGCACCAAGATGGAACAATGACCTCCATCTCGGCCTCACCAGAGTTCATCCATCAGTGTGACCAAGGCAGTTTTTGTGCTGTAGCCAGGCCTGAAGCCAGACTGAAAAGAGTCTAGATAATCCGTTTCCTCCAATGACCACAGGAGATGAAGTGCCACCACTTTCTCTACAACCTTTCCCAAAAAGGTTGTAGAGAAAGAGACTCCAGCAGAATTAAAGAAAGTTCTTTAATTCTGCTGGATCCAGGGAAGGCTTCTTGAGGAGGGGCCTTACAACCACTTCCTTTAATGGTTGCAGGAAGGCCCCTTCCCTCAAGGACACGTTAACTAAAGCCTGGAGCCAGCCTCATGTCATCTCCCTGCTGGCCAAAACCAGCCAGGAAGGGCACAGGTCCAACAAACAAGTGGAGGAACTCATCGCTCCTACAGCCTTGACTCAGGAGTCACAGGCTCAAATTCATCCCACACAATAGGACTAAGACCTGCCCCCATCATCTCGGTCATAATTGCCCAATCAGAGTCCAGGTCCATCCAAATCTGAGCGACTTTATCCAATAGAAACTGCACAAATTCCTCAGCTCTACCCTGCAAGGGCTCCTCCACTCGCCCTGCATTAAGGAGGGAGCGAGTCATCCTAAATAGGGTGGCTGGGCACGAATCAGTGGATGCAATAAGTGCAGAAAAATGCGAACATTTTGCCGCCCATATCGCCACTAAATAAGTCCTAATAAAGGCTCTTAAGAGTGTTCAGTCAAATTCGGAGTTACCGGTCCTCCAGCGTCGCTCTAGATGTTTCTTCTGGCGCTTCATCTCCTGGAGCTCCTCAGTAAACCAGGGAGCTTTCCTGGATCCACTGCCATGGAGAGGTCGCAAAGGCGCCATCCGGTCCAGTGCCCCAGATGCCACCCTATTCCAGGCAGCGACCAGGGACTCAGTCGGACTGTGGACAAAGGAGTCAGGTATCTCCCCAAGCTCCTTCTGGAACCTTCAGGGTCCATCCTCCAGGTGCCTGGGGCAGAACCACTTAATCAGCTCCACCTCCCTGCGATGGAGGAGTAGAGTCCTGAAGTCTAACCTCAGCAGGAAATGATTTGACCACGACAAAGGGGAAGCATCTCCTTAATTCCAGATCATATCTCCACTGCCCCGAGAGAAACACCAGGTCAAGTGTGTGTCCCCCCCTATGAGTCGGACCCTGAATTACTTGGGTCAGGTCCATGGTTGTCATGGAAGCCATGAACTCCTGAGCCACATCTGAGGATTCGCCAAGTGACGGCAAATTAAAGTCCCCCAGTACCATAAGCCTGGGGAACTCCACCGCCAGCCCAGCTACCACCTCTAGCAGCACAGGCAGGGCTGTTGTAACGCAGCTGGGAGGCAGGTACGTCAGCAACAAGCCCAACTGAACCCCTGAGTCCAACCTCAAGA